GTTGCTGCACAGCCTTCCCGGTCCTGGTCTACATCCATGGTGGATACTGGCAGTGCTTGAGGTGAGGCGGGCTGTCAGTGCGGGGATCCCTTGGGAACGGAGCCTCCCAGCCCACTCTTACTGCCTCCCTTCTCACGACACCCAGACTTGTTCAGGGTACTCCGGGTCTGATCGGCCTCCCAGACAGCCCCCGGAGACCCTGGCCCCCACAGCCTGGCTAGCTTCTGTTCCCCCCGCAGTAAGGACGAGTCAGGATTCGCAGCCCCCCCGCTGGTGTCGCAGGGTGTGGCAGTGGTGGCGGTGGGATAGCAGAGGCAGCAGCTCCCTGCGCTGGCCTAGCACCCTCCCAACTCTGACCTCTGCCCAGGCCACATGGACGCCATGGTGCTGCAGGTGCGGCGCAGCCTCGCCTTCCTGGTGGAGCGGTATTCTGGGATCAGGTGGGCCGTGCGCAGCTTCTGGGGTCCCCTCCGCCCCACCACTATGGCCGCTGTCGGGCCTTCAAGACAAGACTGCCCGTGTCATGCCCTGGGTGGTTTGGTGCGTGGGGTGGCTGTGGCAGCAACAGGAGGGGGCAAATGAGCCCTGCGCTGTGGCTAAGGTTTTGATGCCTTGGTCTGAGCGCTGGGCAACGCCTGTGGCTGCACTCCCTTGTCACTGTGTGAGGCATCAGTCAACGGACTGGGAAACATGTCTGAGCTGTCATGTTTGGGCCATGGCGCTTGTGGCTGTGCTGCCTCCTCTGCACAGAGCAGGGTGTCCCAAGGAAGCAGGCGCCGCGCCGTCGCTCCCTGCGCTGGCTCATGGCTCCCTCTCTCCAGAGGCATTTACCTGTGTGGACACTCAGCAGGGGCCCACTTGGCAGCCATGGTGTTGTCCACAGACTGGACAGAATACGGAGTGGTGCCAAATATTAAAGGTAGCGCTGCCATCTCCAGGCATGGGGGCTGAAGGAGAACTGGTGTATGCACCTGGTACGAGGCCATCTTTGCTGCCTGTACAGGGCTGCAGGGGCTGTAGAGCTGAGGGAGATGAGTTGCCCCAGCTGACTGCAGTCCACAGGCACTGGGAGTGTAGGACTCTGGGCTCTGGACAAGCTGCCCCCAGGGGTGTGCATGTCTTGCCCCACCAGCCACTCATTGAGGCTTGGGGACACGGGCACAAGGAGGAGAGCTCCCACGTGCATGGCTGTCAGAGCGGCCCGAGCCGCCAGGTGCCTCACC